CTGACACTTACCTCAAGGCTTAATCACAAAAATCAGAAGTTAATGACAGATTGCCTTGGAATGCTGGTGCGAGGGGATAAATCCTGCTGGGAACGTGATGGGTTTTATCTTAATTTGTTGTTCACCCTCAACACCAAGTTGCAGTTGTCCATCTTAAAAATAGTTTAGAAGTTAATGTAGCAGCTGGCTTAGAGCATCGTATAGCTGCTTCTGGCAAGGTAGGGTTTGATGATGGCTTCACTGAGCGCTGCTGATTTCCTACAGCTTCCCATTCTCCCATTTTTAGAATGCTTTGGAATTCAGATTGCTGAGGAGATTTTATTAAGAGTTTAATTAAACTTTTAATTAGAATTAACACTAATTAAAAATCTAAATAGAATATTTTTAGAACTCTCCAGAAGCTAGAATTTACTGTCCCGTATGCTTTCAACTTGAAACACTGGTTAAAATAATTAGCTTGCAGTTTAAGGTTCTGAGCTGTTTTCTGTTAAATACAGATGCTCTCTTTGCACTGATTCATTTGAAACAAAGAAGTGGCAAGTACCCTTCTAAAAATATGTCATATTTTAAAGTAAACTTGCCACCAGCTACACTTTTTAATTTTTTTCTGCATTAGTTAAGATATTCTGTGTTAAAGTAATCAGTGATGTTAGGTGGTACACATTGCACGTGCAAGAGTACAGCATGGGATCTGTTTCAGATCTGTGGGGAAGATCATTTCATGAAGTTGAGCTTGCCTGTGTTTCAGTGTGGGCTTAACCAAGAGATTTAATACCTGCCTGTTCCTGTGTTTTGTGGTGGGGTTTTTTTTTAATTATTATTATTATTTTATTTTGAACAGGAATATGATGGAGCGTTTCCAGCAGATCAATAGGATTCCCACGTGAGTATTTCTAGGTTCTGACTTCAGGTACTGACCCTCCCCCTTGGCTGTGATCTTGCATTTCTGTTAGAACCAACAACAGCAGCCCTTACTGTTCTTCCAAAGCACGAGCGTGTGTGTCTGTCCCTGTGAGCATGAGTGTTTGTTTATCCACCTGATAAGTTCCAAGACTTTTCTGTCTCAAAAAAATGTTAAAAATGCAAAGTTGGCAGGGTTTTGAGTGGTTGATCCTTGAGATGTTGTAGAATGAAGCTCTGGGAGATGGAGAACAGTGCCACTGATTAACTTGCCATTAGAAATCAGTCTTAAGCAGGACTCTTGAGAACATTTCATTTCCCACGTGCTCAAAAAAATTGTAATTCGCTCTTAACCAAGCATAGGTGTTCAGAGGTGTCTGGATTTCTGGAGATGGGTTTATCAAGTCAAATCCTAAATGTTCTGTGGTACCCTACAACATTTAGCTTTTCTCAGGATTTTGGAGGAGAAAAATCTGTTTGAAGGAATATTCTAAGGAATAGTAATGCATTTAAAAACAATCAATCAACTCAAACAACTGCTTCATGCTCACCTTAAGCATTTAACACCTTAAATGTGATGTTGGAGATGGGAATTTCACCGAGGTGCAGGATGTTCTCTGTGGCTGCCTGCACCTCGAGGGTGTGCGGTACCAAAGCCCGCTGTTGGTGGCACTCTGCGCTTGCCCTGTTCTGCAGCCTGCTGCTGCCATGGCCCAAGGGAGCTGTGACGCTGCCAAGCCCTGTCAGAGCTCCTGTCCCAACCTGGGGAATCAGGAAAGGGAAGAATTCTCCTTTTGAAATTATGGTGTAGCTGATGGTTCGTGGATGCCATGGATTATGAACGTGAAGGGAAAGAAAGTAGTTTCCCTGCTAATTACCAAATGGATCTGAGGCTCTTCTGATCCCCTTCCTTCCTTCTCTGCCAAGCTCCCTGCAGCACCAGCTGCACACACTTTGTTTCACTGCCTGAAGGCAAGAGACGTGTCTCCAGCAGCCATGGAAGGTGACAAAGGAGCAGAGCCAACACTTTGACATGAAATGGAGCTGGCAGAGCAGAGCTGTCAGCAGCTCCCAGTGCCCACCACAGCCCCTGGCAGTCAGACACGTGCCTTTAAGTGCTGTCACACTCTTCCTTCACCACTGCCAGCCACGTAAAAGAGGGCGAGGGCCTGGTCTGGGGACTGTAAAGAGGGGAAGGTTATTTAGGCTGCTGCTAAGCTGGGGTCCTTGTCCTGAGCAGTGAGCTGCTGCCCTGTTTTTGTGCAAGAAGTATTGCTCTCTGCTAGGACAGGTGTTCCCAAGCGCACCACATTGGTATGGGGTGAAACTCCTGGCAGGAGCAGAATCGGGCTGGCTGAGTGAACTGAGTATCTGGCACCTTCTGGCCCTCTCTGAAGCATCTGCTGTAAGTTAATGGCCACCTCACCTGGGGCCCCGTGAACAGTCACTCTTGGCCTTTGCTTTTGCAGTGAGCAGGTGATGGATGAGTTCTTGAACTGTGCTAAACAAACCAATTGCCCAGATGAGGCAATTAAGCTGGTAAAGCTGGCGGCATCCCTGGGTCTTCCTTCATCTGAAAAGCTTAAAAGTAGAACGGAGAAGGAATTTGAACTCTCTGAAAAGCAGAGGTAAGTTGGAGTACTTTGTGTTAGTGCTGAAGGGGGGGGGAGTACATTGTGTTAGTGCTGAAGGGGGGGACAGGGTGTTGAAGGGGCGATTCCTGTGGAAAGGCTTCTCTGCCAAGGTGGTGGCAAACTGGGTTGAGGATGATGTGCCTTTGTGTTGACTCTGATTGATTCACACCCCCAAAATGGCCCCTCAGTTTTGACCCCATGCTGTATCCATCCCACCTCGGAGGGAATGTAACTTTCCATGATGGGCTTAGCCTTATCCACCACTCCGATCTGCTGTCACCTTTCTTTCCCAGAATCTTTTCCTAGCCGGGGTTGGCCACCTAGAAGACACTAATTGCAGGCTGGTAAAAGCAGGGATGTGGTACAGGATGGCCCTGCACGTGTCCTGAGGCTCATGGTCAACCTTCAGTACACTTGACCATCCACCATGGCTCGTTGCTGAGCTGATGCAGCCAAGCTCGGATGATGGCCTTTGATTTGAGGGACCACAGTTTGGAGCCAGTGGTCTGGTCCAAGGCAGTGAATAACTAGAAGGCCTTCCCTTGACAGCTGGCCCACCACCTCCTGGGTAACTGAAGTCGATTGGTTTTTCCAAAAGGAGGTGGGTGTGCTTCCACCAAATGCGAGATGGACCTGTCCTGTGAGGATAATCAGCACCAGACAGCCCATCATGTTCTCTCTGGAGGGGTTTTATACCGTGTTTTAGATCTCTTGTCAAGCAAAAGTCACAACAGGTGACTGATTACTGGACTGTTTTACATTTGCAGGAAGACTTTGGAGAGTATCAAGTCAGACAGTGACAGCAGCGATAGCGACAGTGACAGCGACAGTGACCGTGACTAGCTGTGCCTCTGTCCTTCCCCTCGGGAAAACTGGGAGCAACCGCTGCCTTGATACCAGGAGGCTTCTGTGAGAAGTGGAATCACCGAAGGGACAGCTTCTGGGAGGTGCTGCAGCACTGCAGAGTGCTCCAGAGCATTCTGATATGGGAGCTGCTTGGCAAGAGTATGTTGTCCTTGTTGGAGCAACCTGGAAGCCGTCCCATTTAACGTTCCTGGGAACTTCAAACACAGCGTGGGCTACACCAACACAGGTACTGGAGGCTGCAGTGAGAGGAGTGCTGCTTCCCAGAGCCTGCTCAGCAGGTACAAGACTTGGACAGCTTGAGCAGGACTTCTCTTGGACTTCCTGTGACTTAAACCTGCACTGGATTTAATCCCTTTCCATTTAACTTTAATGTAAACTACTTAAATATCAAGTTTACCCTGTATGTAAACACTGTCAGTAATGCAGCACTCAGCACCTGTGGTGTTAGTCCTCATGGGTTATTTTGGTGTTTTGGGACAGGCTTTGGACTGTGGATGTTAAAAAGCTACAGTACAGCGGGAGACTGCATCTAATAAATGGCTGATATTAACCACGGCTGCATTCTGATAATCCCTGAACAAAACCTCTTGATTACAGTGTTGTGGCTGCTCTGTGAGAGAGCAAGTGAAGTTCACACAGAACACAGCAAGAAAGCTGACGAGTGACTGGGAAGGCGGATAACTGCGCTGTTCCCTTCCCTGCCTTGCACTTAACTGGCCCTCACACCAGCCTGCTGCTGCTCCCAGCTTGTAGAGGAAGCTTGAAGGGTTTTTGAGGTAGTTATCCTGAAATGGCAAAGAATGGCCTTGTTCCTGAGAGGATTAACCCATATTCCAGTGAAAAGCAGTTAACATGATTCTCTTTCTTTGTGAAAAATAAAACCTTGATGTGCGTGTGATGCTGCAGGACAGGAGAACTTCAGCAGCAGAAAGCAGCTTCAGGATAATTCAAGAGTTCAGGAAACAGCAGCTGCTAGAGGTGAAACAAACTACAGCTGGGAGGCTAAAAGTGAAACATTCCTCAGTAATCCAGCAGTAAAGCTGTCTGAAGGCAAGGTTTGCTCCAGGAGTGTGTGACTAGTAGATCCAGGATAAAGGGCTTGATGGGTGGTGATACGGTCTTTGCTTTATTGGACCAACAATTTCAAACTGGATCAGCAAGGAGACAAAGCCACAGTTACTCATTTCAGTTGGATCAATCTGTCTTCAGAGATGGTAAGAATTAAAGGCAAGGTAAGAGAAGGAAGAAGCTTGGTCTTTGTGTGAGCTCTCCTGGCTTCTAGATAGAAATACCTGATCTTCTAAAGCTACAGCAGAGCAGGTCTGCCAAGAAGCAGCATGCAGGGGAAGGAGTCCACCAGAGCATGTGCTCTGATACCAGCTTAAGTTATATCTACATAAACCTGTCCTCAGACATGGGTATTTTTACAGCTGTACAAATTAATTAGCCACATTGATCACATCAAGGAATTCTTGCTCCCTGAAAGGAGTAAACCAGAGGTAAGTAAGTATTAACTTCTTCAGATCCCAGAGAAAGGCTGTTCTCTTACTGCCCAGCTGTATTTGATGTTTAAACAGGAGACTGAACAGCAGGAAAAAGTGGTTGAAGTCTTGTTTTTATTCAGCTGACAAAGTGGCAAATCATTAATGGCAGGTTACAAACATTATTTTGGTTGGATCACAAGCCAGCTTGGTAAGATGGGGAAACAAAATTCTTACACAAATTGTAAAGTAGCTTCCTGAAGTCGGTTCAATACAAATACAACAGGTGGTGAAGTTAAATACAGTGCAAGGAAACAAGACCGTACCCGTGCTTTGATGTAACGCTTCCAGCCCCTGCCAACAGCCTGGTTTGCCACCCGTGGGGCATGGTGGGGTTTCTTTCCAACACAAACAATCACTGAACAGCCTCCGAAGCTACAACCCTACTCACTGCACTTGCGTTGTCCCCAACCCCACGGCGCTGGCGTACGCTGTCAGGATATCCACTATTTGTTTTGTTTCTAGGGTCATTCGCGCTTCGGTCAGCCAGTCGTGTGCCACTCTCCTCGATTCTCCTCTTAACTGGTTGACAAATTTAGCTGCCAGCTCCAGATCTCCGTGTTCAATGCAGTAAGAAGCGTAAGACAGTAATTTAAACGTATCGAGGTCGTCGGGGCTGAGCTCAGCAGGCGGCTTCAGCTGTTGAGGGTGAAAGACGAGCAGCGACTGCAGGTAAGACAGGAAGTACTGGTACAAGCTGTTTCTGGTTTCATCGATCATCGCCACCCTTTTGGCCAGTTTTTGGACTGTGTAGAAACGTGCTCGGAGAGCCTCCTCGCTGTACACTCCCCGCGTCAGGGACTCCTGCGGGAGAGCTGCTGTTAAGGCTTCTGTAAACGCGTTGTCAGAACAACTGGCTTTGATGGCCTTCACCGCGCTCGCCAGCGGTTGGGTGGGACTGTCGCCAGAGGCTGTTTTCATGCAGTATTTGAGTGCTTCAACAGAAAGCCACAGCTGATGGGCCTTTCTGGCTTCCTCTTCTGCTACTGCGTGACCTGAAAAATAAGCCAAGAAGGGGACTTGTAAGTATGGGAAGAGTTTTGAACACAAGCAACAAAAAGCCATCCCTCAAAACACTGGCAGCTGCCCCCTCAGCACGTGAGCCGAAAGCAAGTCTGTTCTGCAGTTCAGGCTCAGAACGAGACGACAGCTTTGGACCCGTGCAGCTGGGATGTGCTGGGTGCTCAGCAGTGTGGCAAACCCAGGCCCACGAGCCATGTGCCTAAACCTGGGATTAGGCACCCAGGCACCCGTCAGAACTTCAGTCCTTAAAGAAATGTGATTTCAGTGCTCACTCTCGACTGCTTGCTCGATTCCTTTCAGCCTGGCGTAGGCAGTGTTGATATCCAACGTGAAGTTGTCGAGCTGTTCCTGAGTAAGGCGTCTGAATTGCATTTCTTGTTCACTGAGTTTCTCTGATAAGTTCTGAAACAGTGAGAGACAAAACAGCTGCTCCTGGTCTGATAAATTATGTTTTAACTTATTTTTAAAGTATGTTTCTATAAATCTTGTTCTTGCTAGGAATAGCACGTATAGTAAATACAATGTACTAGTAAGAAGCCTTATTAGGGTGAAATTAACAAGTTACTGCATTTGTAATTATCAAAATTCTCACCTATAGCAAAAGCTTTTAAGACAAGTCAGTAAAACCTACATGTTCAGGCACTTTATTACATCTCTGAGATGAGCAGGCTTCCCTCCCCAGCCCGCATTTCAGTCTTCTGGAAGGTGGCTCAGGAGTCTCGTCCTGTGAAGCTGTGCTCTGCAAGGGTTCAAATATCCCCCTAATTCCCTTGGGGACTCACTCTGCTCTCTTACCTGCTCAAATTCCACCTTTAGCTCCTGTTCCTGGATCTTCAGCACGTCTCTCAGATGGTCTGTGTGGGCAGCAGCCTGCCGCCGGAGCTGGGTCCTCATTTCGCTCTCCATCACCTCTCGGACTTCTTCAACCTGTACACACGTGAGCGGTTGTCACTACAATGCTACTTCTGTTTGTCACACACTATGGTTATATCATCCATCAGTGACTGCCTCGGGTACATTTAATAAAAGTGGAGTTGACAGAGCCCATGTTTCATCTTAGAAAGCTGTCAAGGTCCTTTTTTATAGCTGAACCTCTTCCTAAAGATGTCAAAGATCAGCTTCACCATCCACAGTGCCTGTGGTTATACTCACCAGGCACTCAGTGCAGTTACCAAAATACTGTATAAAAGATACACTAACATGACAAACTCAACACTCTGGGGTTTATAAACCAACTTCCAAACAAAAACTACTTTACCTTTTCCCTGTGTGCTGTAATACTGACTGATTTGGACACAGTTTAATAAAATGGTAACAGCCCTTTTACCTGATCTTGTGTAAAACAGCTACTTTAGAGAGCGTGGGTTAGCACAAGGGCCATGGTGCAGGTTTATTTAGGTGCAGGCTTATTTAGGAGCAGTTGAACAGTTTTTTGTTTGTTTGGATTTTGAGGGGAGTTTTTGTTGGTGTATTTTATTATTTTTTTTTAAATAAGGATTGTGTCATTTCCAACCTTCCATTAAATGCCAAGATGACAGTTCAGGCAACTTTTAAAGAGCTCTAAATTAATCTCTGTTACTGCAATGCTTTGAAGCAACAGGCTACAAGTAAAATACCTTGTTTCCATTGTGTCAATACAAGTTTTTCAACTAACAGCCAATGTTTAATCTTATTTTCAGAGGCATGGATGTGAAAACAGCACAAGTATTTGGCACAAGTGTCAGCCTGCAATATGGTACCTCAAAACATAAAACCTCCAGCACCCAGATTCCTGTTTGTAAGTTGTACTTCCTTCATGTACAAAACAACATTAAAATTCTGAGTTTGCATAGTTCTTTTGAAAGAAATCAAATCCCAAACCACTGGCAAAGAATGGAAGGACATGGAGATAGCTCCTGGAAGTTAATAACAAAACAAGGGGAAATGGGTTTAAACTGAAAGAGGGGAGGTTTAGATTAGATATTAGGAAGAAGTTCTTCACTGTGAGGGTGGTCAGACACTGGCCCAGGTTGCCCAAGGAAGTTGTGGCTGCTCCTCCCTGGAAGTGTTTAAGGTCAGGCTGGATGAGGCTTTGAGCAACCTGGTCTAGTGGAAGGTGTCCCTGCTGATGGCAGGGGGGTTGGAACTGGATGATCTTGAAGGTTCCTTCCAACCCAAACCATTCTATGATTCTATGAAACAGGATGGAGGGACGACATAGCCCTGAGGTGGTCATACTGGGTCAGATCAAACGCTTGTTTTGAGCCAGCAGACAGGAACACGAAGCTGTCAGGCCCTGTTGCACTGTGTGATTTTACCATTCTAATTTTGCAGCAGTTTCCTTGATCAACTTTCCGTGCTTAGCCTGGAGGGTCACCCTATCTCTCAGAACATCCTGGTTGCTCTTCTGGACACCTCCTCTAGCTCTTCTATATCCTTTTCCGAGCCAGAGATCCAAACAGGAGTGTTTGTTACACCACTTTACCTTCTTCTCCTGTTCCATTTCAATTTCACTTTTGTGACGTTCCAGAGCTTTGGCCACGGCTGCCTCAAATGCTTTTTTATCTTCAAGTTTCTGCTTCTCCAGGGCTGACTCGATGTGTTGCTGTTCCCTCACTCGCTGCTCCGCCAGCTCCTTGTTCAACTGGTCGATGCGACGATGGGCGTGTGCAATGAGAGAATTTAAGTCGTCCGTCGATAACTGGCCAGCTAAAGAAAACACAGGGGTGTTAGGAGGGTCTGTGGGGACACTCCCACCACGGTGCTTGCCCACCTCCCATTCCAGCACTCTAAGGCTTCCTGTGGTTGCCCAGCAAGCGTGTTTTATGAAAAGTTTCTGACCTGTACTCATGCCCATCCCATATCACTTTCTGAGCCACACCTGTGGGCAAGTACTTTCTATCTAGGAGAGAAATTATCTTAGTTTCCTTGAAGCTGATTCACAGCTATTATTTACACTCCCATATCCATATCACACTCAACTAGAGGACACTGTGGACAGCTCTGTACATTTCTTGGTCTTTATACCACCATGTATCTTCTTCCCCTGTGACAACACATAGAGCAGCAGGACATGTGAAACCTGGTGCTGACTGATACCTCCAGCTGGGTACAAGCTTATGGAAATCTGATCCTGAAAACACTGAAGTCATTGTGACGGACAGCCAGAATTACGTTCTCTCTTCAACAGTCCTCCAGACCAACTGTTTGCAATCAAATTTCTTACCCTAATTTGTACCTTTCATGGTTTGGCTACTCCAAGAGCAGCATCTCTGTCTGCCAAGGGGTTTCCTATCTTTCTGCTGGGAGAGGAGGAGGACACAAGATACACCTACAACATTTGGTGACCTGAGAATTGCACAGGCTCTGTAAAATGCTGCAGCTCATTTTGCACTGGCTGTCAGCTAAATTGCCTGTGTGGAAAACCAGAGAGTACCGGGGAAGGCATTC